GACCTATCCAGTAATTATAGTATGCAGACAGCCCACTTATTGAGTTAGGGAAATGACTATTTTGGGAAATGACTATTTTGGTCTATGAGATGCTGACCACACACGCTAATTTTAATGCAATTTCAAGTTTTATTCAGCTTTTTATTGCAGATTAAACCAACTGGCAGATATCAAACTACCTTTGTTCAAAAATTTTGAGGGTATCCAAACTGACTATCAGCCTTAGGATGTGTTGGCTGCATTAGTTTTTCTTTTTCAGGCCAAAACAATTTCAGCAAGTACAGAACATACCTGTTGATCTAGCTGAAAATACAGTATTTTTGTTACTTTTGTGAGCCAAAAAGAAAGCACAAAAAACCTTCAGGCTACATCCAGATGGCTGAGTCGCAGCGGCCTCCAGTAAGAGTCAGATGCTAAAACCGGAGAGTGTAAAATCCGGTGCAGCTCTGCAGAGAAACCAATCGGCTTCCAGGGTTTATTATCAAAGCTTAAAGTGTCACTAAACTCCGTATCTTGCATTCACTAAATCTATCAGGTTTCCCACAGTACACAGAACATGGAAATGCAATTGTTTTAGAAAACATAAACTGCTAAATACCGTTTCTCATTCGCAGTATATCAGTGTCTGGCCGAGCAGTGGTTTAAAGCTTGTAGGAGGAGTTTTCATTCTGCTCTGACTGTCCTATGAGGCTGCATAACCCCCTGACCCTCAGTCTGGACTTTGCTGATTGGTCCTGTGCTGATCACATGCACCCTTCCCAAAAAAAAGACTCTCTAGTAATACGCACCAAACTGAGCATGTGCAAAGTGCCTTTTAGAGCTTTACTATCAGCAGATGCATTGGGGACTGTGGGAGGATCTTAGAAGACAGAATCAAACAGCCTTTTTACACAATGCGGAGGATTAACCCCTTGTGACTTCTATCCACTGAGCACTGGTTAAAGCTTGTAGGAGGAGTTTTCATTCTCTCACTGCCCCTATGAGGCTGTATAAACCCCTGATTTCTGTCTAAAACAGTGCTGATTGGCCCTTTGCTGATCACATGCACCCTCCCAAGAAAAAAAAACTCTAGCAGTACACCCCAGACTAAGCATGTGCAGAGTGTCCCCGAGGCTGTGTTCTATTAGGAGGTGAAATGGGGAATGTGGAAGAAGGGGAGGATCAGAGAAGACAGTTCAAACCTTTTTACAGAATGCAGAGGATTAACCCCTTAGTTTCAACGAGTGAGTGTACCAAGCATGCTTTCCTGCATATATAGACTGGTTTTACTGTTGTGGGTTTAGTAATACTTTAATTTGAACAAGCTGAAGTCAGAAGCTGATTGGCTACCATGCACAGCTGCACCCGATTTTTTTTGCACTCTCTAGTTTTAGTAAATCAACCTCACTGTGTTATGAACAGTAGTGGCTGTCAGATTTGTACCCTGTACAAATCAATGGGCAGTGTCACCACTGTTCGCATGTAACCGTTTATCAAAACCGTTTTTTACATGCAAATCGAGACTCCGACTGACTCTGGATGCAGACAGTGTGGGGTTTATTTACTAAAGCTGGAGAGTCCAAAAATCAGACTCCCTTCTGCATAGAAACCAATCAGCTTCCAGGTTTCATTGCCAAAAGCTTCATTGAACAAGCTGAGGTTAGAAGCTGATTGGTTTCTATGCAGAAGGGAGTCTGATTTTGGACTCTCCAGCTTTAGTAAATAAACCCCCTGTGTGTCCAGGATTGGCGGTTTCTGCAGAGTTTTTGGCCTCCGCTAACTGGCAGCTTTGTATGTGGACATAACAGAGAATGTCGGTATGTCCCAAGGTGGCGTTTAGCTTCCTCTGACTGCAGCAAACTATCTGCACCCCATCATCCCTGTGAATGTAGCCTTATAGTGGTAAACTACTCTCATCAATCCACTAGGTCAGTGGTCTCCAAACTGTGGGCGGGGGCCAGATGTGGCCCTTTGCTTGCTTTTATCTGGCCCTTGGGGCACACTATTTCATTCACTGATACCAACAATGGGGCATAATTTCCCCCAAAGGCACCAATGAAGGGGCACAATTGCTCCCAATGATGGGACACAATTTCTCCCAATGACACCAAAAATGGGGCCCAGTGACACCAGAGATAGGACACAATTCTTCCTAATAACACCAACAATGGGGCACAATTTCTACCAGTGACACCAACAATGGGACCCAATGAGATCAATGCTGAGGCACAATTCCTCCCAATGACACCAACGATTAAACATTGTTTTTTTTTCCCAATGGCCACAGTCTGGCCCCCCCTAAAGTCTTAAAACTGGAAGAATGGTCAATCATTCCCATAGACACACTCCTAAACCTTGTGGACAGCCTTCCCAGAAGAGCTGAAGCTGTTATAGCCGCAAAGGGTGGGCCAACTCAATATTGAACCCTACGACCAAGACTGGGATGCCATTAAAGTTCATGTGCGTGTAAAGGCAGGCGTCCCAATACTTTTGGCAATATAGCGTGTGTGTGCATTAGAGATATATAATATATATATGCACAATTGTTAGGAGGGGGTACAAAGTAAGATTAGGGAATGTTCCAAATGAAGGTGTCTCTTAGATTGTAAGCTCCAAGGAGCAGGGCCCTCCTAACCTTCTTGTATTGAACTGTATCGTTGCTGTATTGTCTCCAGTTACCAGGGGCGGACTGACCACTCGGGCAGTGCTCGAGGGCCCGGGGTCAGTAGAGGGTCCCATGAGAAATGCCCCATGTACCTTTCATAGGCTTTTTAGGGTGTGGTTTGAGTGTGGGCGAGGACACGGGCCCCATCATCTCCTATTGCTCGGGGGCCCCATGAGTTGTCAGTCTGCCCCTACCCATTACATTGTAAAGCGCTGAGCAAACTGTTGGCGCCATATAAATCCTGTATAATAATAATAAAAGGTGAAGGTCTGCTTTATGTTCCTATGGGCCATGGCACAATAACGACTTGCCAGTATTCAGATCGCTAAGGGAAGCACTTCCCTGCTATTATGGAGTTGCTACCTCGCTGGAAGCATCTTGCTTCCTAGTGATGGTATAACACCTTGCTGGTTTGGCCAATGGAGGAGTGACGCTGCAGTAGAGATGTTGCTGTGTAATCTGGACCTAGGTTCATTTTATATTATGGAGAATGCAACAGCAGGTGACAGGAGTCTAGATTATGTAAGGGAGATCCTACTGTTGGATTATCCAAGACCTTTTAGAATCCAGTGGCTGATTCGTTTGATTAGGCTCCAACCATAACTAATATATTGCTTTTGGAAGAAATTTCCCTTTTAAAATTTTGTCTTTTTACTCTCTTTTTAGAATTCTTTCGTGAAAAATATATGTATACAAAAACAAGCCAACACTGAACCCGAAACCTTATCCCCATGCATTCCTGCTCTGTATCAATGCATCTATTTTGCCCATTCCTGTGGGAATGTATCTGGCAGTCACAGAAAGCCGTAAAGGAGAGCATATCGATCATTAGTGCTTGAAGCTGCACCTGCAGCCAGAAGTTCTTTGTTCAGCAAAGAATGGATTATGCAATGGAAGTTCTAATCTTTCTATCTGCTGTTGGACTCTAGAATTGACTGCTTCCACGCTGTTCACTTGGCACGCGATGTAAAGCATGGAGGTTTGTTTTTTAAAAAAGCAAATATTTTGGATAGCAATCCATGACTCCAGCTTCTGAGCATGTGTAGTTTCTGTATGTGCTTGTGGAACAGAATGCCAGGGACTGCTTGAGACCCTTGCCACCTTTCTGTACCTCCACAATGCTTTTGGTCCCAAAAAAAATCTCCAATATGGCCAAACACGTTTTGGAACTAAAGTAGATCTGTACTGTAACTGGATGACGTTTAGTTTGCTCAAGCACTGTATATCAGAAACCATTGCCTTTTCATCTTCCTAATCTTTGTACTTCTTTTTTTTTTTTTTTTTCCATCCTGTTTTATATCTGTGCTGCTGATCACCTCTAAATGCTGTAATCCACTTTCTGTATACATTCTCCAGCTTCAGGTGCACATCATTGCTTCCCGATAATGACAATGGTAGACCATGTCTGGTGGTCTCCAACAGAAGTGCATATGGTAGGGTGACAACACGGGAACACAGTCACCACATAATGATCCTGATAAAGGGCCTTCATGGCTGGATAATATTGCAGTATTTCATTGAAAATTGCATATTTTAAAAATGCTAAAAAAAACATTGAATGTTACATGAATGTGTTAAATCTTGTAAAGAATTTTAATAATTGACTTTAATTCTACTTTGATTAATGAGGCAGTGCAAAGTTCATAACTCATAGCTCGTAATCCGTATACAGCAGTTGGGATGGTTTGAGATTGCGGTTTGTCATGGGGCATTAGAAAGGACTTATTTGACTTTTTTAAAAACAACCTGTCACACGAGAAACAAGGAAGAATGTCTTCAAAGCCCAATTCCAGGCACAGCTTTAGGGTGCCAATTCCCCCCAGTCCCTTTTTTTTTTTTTGTTAATGAAAAAAAAAATATGTACCCTTTTACGTGGTTGTTTTCAGTTAAAGTGTTACTAAACTCCCAACAGTAAACAGTAACAGTCTGTATATGCAGTAAGGCATGCCTGTTATACTCCCTGTGGAACCTAAGGAGTTAATCCTCTGCATTGTGTAAATAGGCTGTTTGATCCTGTCTGCTTTGATCCTCCCCTTTTTCTACAGTCCCCAATCCATCTGCTGATAGAGCAGAGCCTTGGGGGAAAACTGCACATGCTCAGTTTGGTGTGTATTGCTAGATAGTGGGTTTTTTTTTAGGGGGGGAGGGGGTGCATGTGATCAGCACTGTCCAGACAGAGGGTCAGGGGTCCTGCAGCCTCATAGGACAGTCAGAGGAGGACGAAAACTCCTCCTACAAGCTTTAACCAGTGCTCTTCTGGACACTGATAGAAGTCATGAGACTGCTCTAACTGCTGATGAGAAAAGGTATTTAGCAGTTTCATATTTACTAAAATAATTGTATTTCCAATGTGTACTGTGGGAGATCAGATATAGTGAATGCAGGGTCCTGGGTTTAGTAACACTTTAAAGTGTTACTAAACCCACAACAGTAATATCAGTCTGTATATGCAGTAAAGCATGCTTGTTAAACTCACTGTGGAACTTAAGGGGTTAATCCTCTGCATTGTGTAAAACAGCTGTTTGACCCCGTCTTCTCTGATCCTCCCCTTCTTCTACTGTCCCCAATCCATCTGTTGACAGAACAGAGCCTGGATGGAAGAGAACCAGCACCGGATCATGGAGAAGAGGGGAGTTTTACAGCAGAAGCTTTTGTGGCGTGTTTTTTTTTTTTTTTTTTCTCTCTTTCTGCTGCTGCAGATTTTTATACCCAGCTTGACTAGGACTTTAAATACAAAAGGTTATTTGCTGTATTTGCATTGTGGTTTTTGACTAGCAGGCATCTAATTTACATGGGTACCTCCTAGTACTACTACTGCTCAGTACACCTCATGCCGGCTCATTAAATGACCTTTTTGAATAATTATTACTGCTTGGGAAGCTGTGACATAGATTTCACCTTGAGTCAGGAGGTTTCTCTATGATGAACGCTCTTGCTTCTCTGCAGAACCATTTCACAAGCCACATATTCAGTTGTTATCCAAGACAGGAAGCGAAGCAATCTGCTGCACATATTCTTGTATGTTTCCTCCAAAAGGCTCCTGGTCCAAGCATCCACATCTACATTTGTAAAGAATTCTAAGTGTTAGCAGCATGGGGGCTATTTATAAAGGAACAGATTCACCGAGGATTCTCTATACATTTGTGGACAACTCATGCATTCATTCTCTAGCAGACTGAATATTGGAACCCTTTACCGGCATCTGAATATGTTCTATTTTCATGTTTAAAGCCCAACTCCAGACACAAGATGTGTCCCCTTCTTCCACCCAGTACACAGTGTAACCTTTTTCTCCATTCAAGAGAAGGAAGAGCACTGGACCGGGTTGTATAGTTATCAATCACTGAGATTGCCAGTCACAATGTGAGAGAAGAGAAGAAGCGCCTCTAAGTGCAGTAGTAGTAGTCTTCCAAAGATGGCGTCTGGAACACACATTGAGGCGCGGCGTCAGCGTGATGATGCATGTATAGCAACGCGTTTCGGAGCATGTGCTAGACCTCTAAGGGTGGAAGCGCGCTCCCTTGTCAAGCTAAGCGTGGACACAGCTGTCCTCTCATCTGTTTGAGCTTGCATTTATCATGCAATATGTGAGTTCTTCATTTGTTATCCATTAAAGTTACCTATACTGCACTTAGAGGTGCTTCTTCTCTATTCTATACAGAGATCTGCTACTACTATATGAGGCTTGCTCTAGTGCTACAGTCAGGTCCATAAATATTGGGACATCGACACAATTCTAACATTTTTGGCTCTATACACCACCACAATGGATTTGAAATGAAACAAACAAGATGTGCTTTAACTGCAGACTGTCAGCTTTAATTTGAGGGTATTTCAGGTGAACGGTGTAGGAATTACAACAGTTTGCATATGTGCCTCCCGCTTGTTAAGGGACCAAAAGTAATGGGACAGAATAATAATCATAAATCAAACTTTCACTTTTTAATACTTGGTTGCAAATCCTTTGCAGTCAATTACAGCCTGAAGTCTGGAACGCATAGACATCACCAGACGCTGGGTTTCATCCCTGGTGATGCTCTTCCAGGCCTCTACTGCAACTGTCTTCAGTTCCTGCTTGTTCTTGGGGCATTTTCCCTTCAGTTTTGTCTTCAGCAAGTGAAATGCATGCTCAATCGGATTCAGGTCAGGTGATTGACTTGGCCATTGCATAACATTCCACTTCTTTCCCTTAAAAAACTTTGGTTGCTTTTGCAGTATGCTTTGGGTCCCTTTACAAGTGGGAGGCAAATATGCAAACTGTTGTAATTCCTACACCGTTCACCTGATTTGGATGTAAATACCCTCAAATTAAAGCTGACAGTCTGCAGTTAAAGCACATCTTGGTCGTTTCATTTCAAATCCATTGTGGTGGTGTATAGAGCCAAAAATGTTAGAATTGTGTCGATGTCCCAATATTTATGGACCTGACTGTATATGGACTTTAGTAGCCCTACATTGGTCTTTTGGACTCTTTCACAATTTTTAAGAGCTGGGTGGTAGCACTTTGCGCTGATTGTTCTCAAATTGAGTTTCTTGCTTGTTTGTACAATGTGATGGAGAGTCAGTCCTTCCAGCTCCCAGGCATAAGTATGAAACCCAGAGCTGTCAGTGTCAGCTCGGTCTCTATGCTGGGAGCGCACTGCACTGTGCCTTCCGAGCACAAACACAGGCCCCATGGAATTAGACCTACTTCAGTGAGGCCGTACAGTATATGTGAATACCCCTGTTTTCTAAAGGGGGTTAAAGTGGAACTAAAGTTAATAAGCAATTGCTAGCAGATGGGTATTGATGGTAAGAGACTCTGTATATTGTTTCTGTCATAAATTATCTTCCCCCACCTGCAGCACGTTTCCAAATGGTATACTGACAGCCACACATTCACATCTCCGTATACATTCAGACGCCAGGAGCCAGACCCCATTCACACTTGGCGATTTAGAATTACACTCTGAATTGCTGCAATTCTGTTGGCAAATCCAAATTAATGCTTAATTCTTAATAGCACCCAAACGACAGAATCACGTGGATGTCACAGCAAAATGTGCCCTTTTAAAAATCACCTGAAGCTTGTTACCCAAAAAGGAGCAGGAGCTTCTTTTGGGTGACAAACACTTATAGGGATGCCCATTAAAGTGAAATGCGTGGAAATCGCACTTAACAAGTCACTTGTTCTCGCTATGTTAAATGTGAACGGAGTGTAAGTGCAAGGACCGGTAACTCCAGGAATTGTTTCATCCTGACCAGCCAATAGAGAAAGCCAAGATAATGGGAGATCATCTCCTAAAAAAAAAAAAAAGAAAAAAAGTGAGGGGACAGTTGTCACTACAACAGGTTTCACTGGAACTGATGTCCCCTTTGGAATATTTACTTTTACCTTTTGTTCTGTTGACCATAATTTTGATTCCCATCACTTTCTGCCTCAGTACCAGTGACAAGCCAAATTAGGTTAATTTACCCAGCATAAAAAAAAAAAAAAGATTAATGTGTTCACCTTTTCAGAACAGGTGAACTATCATCCCCCACCTTTCTGGTCCTTGCTGTAGTTGCCTTGTCAGTGCCCATGCAGCCTTTGTAGAGGTTCGGGGATTTAAAACCCTCGCTTCTCTCCATGTACATTTTTTTTAGGGCATCCAGGACAGCTCAGAGCACTTCTGATTGGTCAGAACCTGTACATCACTCACGAGAGGTAACTACAGCGGGGACAAGGGGCGCGGGGAGGGTGTTAGTTCACCTTTTCATTTTTCCCTCAAAAGGTGAACTAAGACTTTAACCTTGCACAGAATTCCATGCTTGCTATCAGGTTGAGCAGAATCATTTTACTCTATGCATAATATAACACATCTAATGAAATCATTTGAAGAGCCTCTGCCTTTGAAGTGCCTGCTACCTAAACAAATCCATTTGCTGATTTATAATTTATAGCCGGCATGTTTTTTCCTGGCAAGACCAGTGAATGGAGCCCTGTGTGTCACTGGCCAGCTGTGCTGATCTCAATCGATTTAGTCACGGACGTTGTGTGGAAAGCCTTTGTTGGTGTCGGATCTGACATCTTGGAATGCAGATTGCATTTTTCTATCCCCTTTAACAATTCTTAACTGTACATAAGGAATCCAGTATGACAAAAGAACTTGCTGAGTAAAGCAAAAGAATTCCAACTTTCCAACTCGTTTCTTAAAGGCAGTCTATCATTACATAGATGAAGCTAAAATGGCATCCCAAGTGAAACCCAGATACCAAAAAGTATCCTCATACAGCTTCCAATATTCTCCAAGCACCCAGAACATGGAAACTGGAATATGGAAACCCCAATTTCTGACCACAAATAATCAGAGACTCGTCCACACATGGCTGCCGCCAAATTCAGATGTTTGTACTGCCGCCAAACTTGACCCATTTCATTGGTAACTTCACTTTTGTGGGGGAAAAAATAGCAAATAAAAAAAAAATATATAGCAAATACAATTGTCAGTACTGCCGCCAAACTTGACCCATTTAATGGGTAACTTCACTTTTGTGGGTGAAAAAAACCGCAAATATAAAAAAAAAAAAATTAATATAGCAAATACAATTGTGACACAAGTCCTATTGTAATTGAATGTTAATAAAAAAAATACCTTATCTTTTCAGTTTGCAGCAAAATGCAATATGGCAACCTACAGGCATTCTGTACACAGTTGGTGTACAGAAATGTCATCTCCTGCTTGTGTGAATTTGCAACAACTGCAGAAAATGTCATGCAAGAACTACTTTAGAAATTGTGCTGCAGCAAATCGCACATGTTAAAACACTGACATTCACAATTATTAGATGCGATTTCAGGTGCGATTTTCAATTCGCAAATCGCACCTGAAATTGATGGGGCGTGACTGGGCACTTTAAGGTCAAAACATTGCCACCTGATGCTTGACAGTCGATATGTCGCTTCCTTGCCTGTTTTAATCCTGAACCACCAAGACTGAACCACCATGGGTGCAAAGGGATTCCGCACCTGAGAAGAGTCTTAAGAATAACTGGTTCTTCACACAAGACTGCACATAAACACCCCTTATTTATTTAGCACAATACTCCTCATATATACATAAATACTCTGACTTCCTACTGACATTTCAGGTTCACTATACCTGTCATACCTGTGCTATTTTAAACTTTGTATATATGTATAATGTATTTGTTCACCTTCCAGTCTGATCATTGTACTTGAGATACAGAATGACACATCACACATTCTATGTGTGTGTGTGTGTGTGTATGTATGTATGTATGTATATGTATGTGTGTATGTGTGTATATATGTGTGTGTGTGTGTGTGTGTGTATGTGTGTGTGTGTGTGTGTGTATGTATATATATATATATATATATATATATATATATATATATATATATATATATATATTACACACTCACATAATGTTGGCTACACGTGTTAATTTATTAGAGAAACTTGGGTAAATGGTTAAAGCACAACACTGGTCAAAACTTTTATTTTCCCATGCATTGAGGCTGTGCCCGCCATTGCATGGGTTAAGTCTTCGTTTTGTCCAGAGGCTAAGGGAAAAGCTGTACTTATCCATTCCTCTGATCCTCCGGAAAACCGTGCTCCCCTACATCCAGTGGTGGACTGTTCCTGCTGTCCTCACATCTGTGAGATGGTCTATGAGCATGATGTTGTCAGGAACAGCCCATTCATAAGACCACTAGCTTGTGGGGGGGCAGGAGCAGCAGGGACTGGTCTTGCACTCGTAGGATCGGTGGATTAGGTAAGTATATCTTTGCTTTCCGAGCTCCTAGACAAATATGAGCATTTAACCCATGCAGTCCGGGCACGGTCCCACTGCATGGGAAAATAATAATTTTTCCAGAATGCTTCTTTAAATCTGAACATACTAGCTAAGTAAGCTCTAGTGATATGAATACAGTATGTGGATGGTTGCTGTTTTGTAGAAAATTCATACCTTGCTGCAAGCCCGCTTCTACACAGAGCACTGGATTTCTGGTTGCTGCAGGGATGAGAGCAGCGGCTACAGCAGTGAAGAGCTCCACCCCCTATTCTCTCCTCACCCATTCATGTAAACCCTTGTATTTTCTTAACAGAATACAAGGCATGTAGTAAATGAAGGAAGAGATATATAGCATACCTGCCCCTCTTCTACCCTCCCCTCTCCTATTCATCATTTCCTGCAAGGTCTCCCTGAAGCTAATGTCTACTTACTGTGACATTACTGACTTACCATGCATTGTTCTGTAGCGTGCCTCTGTTAGAGGTGGCTATCTTTGTAGAAGCAGGACTTTGCTTCCTCATGCCAGAGCCTTCATCAAGATCAACAATGGACAGCACGGTAATGTGATATCAAATCTCATAAGACTAGCCAGAGGCAGCAGTGCCTTAGATCGCACACTGTGGATATGCAGGATACACAGGAGTACCGCCTGGGTGCCTATATCATCACAAAGCAAAACTGCTATTTTTATGGAGGAACACCTTATTTATACAGAGCAGTACAAGGAAAAAGTTGACCGTCCTGAGAACTCACTGGCTCTCTTTAGGAAACTCGCAGACAGGACTACCCTTTCATTGGGTGCACAGGAATGCCGCTCAGTAAACCAACAGAAGAAGCGCCAGTCTGAATTCATGAAGGAGTGTGAAATGGCTTTTATTTATTAAATTAATAGTTAATTAGATCACTAATTATATGAATTTGGTCTGGTGCTTTTTCTGTTGGTTTATGTACTGGCTGTAAAGAAAATTTAGAGTCCACTGCCAGAATACTGCAGAAAAGGAACCCTTGCTTTCTTTGTGGAAGCAGTGGTCTCTCTGCAGAGGTCCAGAACATCCTCATCTGAGTCAGAGCTGGAGTTCTCCATTCAGCAGGAACCATGGGTTTGCTTTTAGGAGACCTATTGGGATTTACTGGGGATACACTTTTGTTTTGCACACAAAGCCTTTAGTGGAGGACTTTGGATTATGATACGGCTTGTGGCATATCCATCATCAGTCTTTATAAACTCACTCATGTTCTGTTATATATATTTCTACCATAATATTCTGCTTATTTATAGATCTGCAGCTTGCAGCCGAGCTGGGGAAGACATTGCTGGATCGCAATACGGAGCTGGAGGAATCTTTGCAGCAGATGTATGCCACCAACCAGGAGCAGATCCAGGAAATTGAAGTATGTCCTCTGTATTACGCAGCACACTGCTGTACATTCACTCTCCAGCACAGATAGAGCTCTCTACTGTCCTCTTTGTGGCTTCAGTCTGTGTTGAGTATTCAGAGTTGAATGCAGGTCAGGCAGCTGGCGACCGATCAGCCATTTTCCTGCTAACACACTGACAGCACTGATTGTATCACCTGTAGGCAAACTGTCATTTTATTGTAACAGTAGAACTAGAAAGGCTCTGGTAAGATGAACTAAAAGAAACCAAAAATCCCTTCATAGTGTGAAGCACAGTAGACACATTCATGAGAATTTATAAAGCAAGTCTACAATGCTCTTTTAGAATTCTATTGTGGCCCTGCATGACAAATTGATGATGTGGGTGACAGTTACATGTGCCATGGATAAACAGGTTCATGAATTTTGGACAGGCACCACACTTGTAGGTGCCCTGAGACTGGAGTGTCCATACAGGCACTTCGATTTTAATGCCGCTGAGCTCCCTCCGGTTGATGTAGAAACGGCACAGTCTTGTATTTGGGTGTACAGAGCCTGATGGGGATTCAGACTCTATTTATTATTTATTTCAGGTACTTATATAGCTCCGTCAATTTGCGCAGCGCTTTACATATATATTGTACATTCACATCAGTCCCTAACCCTCAAGGGGCGTACAATCTAAGGTCCCTAACTTACATTCATACATACACACATACTAGGGCCAATTTAGACAGGATCCAATTCACCTACCAGCATGTCTTTGGAGTGTGGGAGGAAACCGGAGTACCCGGAGGAAACCCACGCAGGCACAGGGAGAACATGCAAACCCCAGGCAGGTGGTGCCGTGTCTGGGATTCGAACCAAGGACCCTAGTACTGCCAGGTGGAAGTGCAAGCCATTTAGCCACTGTGCTGCCCTAGTTTCCCCATCAGGTCTGCTACCCTTGTGATTGACAGCAGGCAATGGGCAAATCCATAGCCAATAGACAGCCTGCTATTGGCAATAGAATCTGCTCACTGCCTCCAGTAAATCGCAGAGAAAGGATGATGGGAAACTAGTCCCTCTGCTTTCCCATCTGGCTCCTCCCACTATCAGTGTCACGGGTTAGTCATAGTTATAGTTAGTGTGGTTGAAAAAAGACAAAAAGTCCATCCAGTTCAACCATTTAAAAAAAAAAAAAAAAAAAGTTATATTCCTATACCCACAGTTGATCCAGAGGAAGGCAAAAAAAACCCCAGCAAAGCACGATCCAATTTGCTCTTGCAGGGGAAATAAATTCCTTCATGATCCCCCGAGAGGCAATTGGATATTCCCTGGATCAACTTTACCTATACATATTAGTATCCAATTATATTCTGTGTATCTAAGAAATAATCCAGGACTTTTTTGAAGCAATCCATGGAGCTGGCCAGAACCAACTCTTGAGGGAGTCTATTACACTAGGTTGCTAGGAGCCCATTGACTCTGAAGGACAGGAGAGGGTAGTGGCAGCAAATATGCTGTTCTGCTACACAGCGTACGGAGGCACTCTGCCTCTCTTTGTATGCCAAATTTTAGTAGTTCTAAAGTCTTAACAGTTTTTTTTTTTTTTTTCTTTTTTTTTTTCCTTTAAAGTGTTCCTAAACACACAACAGTATAATCAGTCTGTAAAGCATGCTTGTTATACTCACTGAGGAACTTAAGGGGTTAATCCTCTGCATTGTGTAAAAAGGATGTTTGAACCTGTCTTCTCTGATCCTCCCCTTTTTTCTTGTTCTTGGGAGGGTGCATGTGATCAGCACAGGGCCAATCAGTACTGTCCGAACAGAGGGTCAGGGGTTATGCAGCTTCATAGGGCAGTGAGAGGAGAAAACTCCCTCCTACAAGCGTTAACCAGTGCTCAGCTGGACACTGATAGAAGTCAGGAGACTGCTGTAACTGCTGATGAGAAAAGGTATTTAGCAGTTTGTATCTACTAAAATAATTGCATTTTACAATGTTATGTGTACTGTGGGAGACCAGATATAGTGAATGCAGGGTCCTGCTGGGATTAGTAACACTTTGATGCAGGGAATGCATTAAGGTAAAAACATCCCTACTAACTGTTCCCCCTCCCCCAAAACCCTTACCTGAGTCCTAGCAGTGCTGTCCTGGCTGCAGCCATAGGCTCCTGTTGCTGTCAGTCAAATCCTGTGAGGACGGATCGGGGGGGGGGGGGGGGGTGTATGGCCACACAGGACACACACAGACCGGCTCAGGAGCATGCTTATGTATTTTTTACTTATTTATTTTTTTCAGACTGGTTTAGTGGAGGGCTTTAGAGGGCTCTTTTAATCTACCTCGCTATAACCTTGTTGTTTTCATTGATCCAAAGCCACGGTTTCCATGCACTACATTGATACTGGACAACAAGTCTGAAACATCTACACTATATTGCCAAAAGTATTGGGACACCCCTCCTAATCATTGGATTCAGGTGTTCCAAACACCTCCATGACCACAGGTGTATAAAATCAAGTCAAGTACCTAGGCATGCAGACTGCTTCTACAAACATTTGTGAAAGAATGGGTCGCTCTTAGGCTACGTTCACACTAGCCTTGTGTGCAGGCGGCAGAGAGGCGTTTGGGAAGCGTTTTTACCGCTTCCCAAACGCCTCTGCCAATTCTGCACATTACAGCACATGGTGCTGTTCTAACAGGAGCGTTTGCGTCGCGTCGCGGCAAAACGGACGCCTCTGGTCGAGTCAGGAGGCTTTGAAGCCTCCTATTCTCGTCTATGGTGCCGCTCCGCAAACGCCCGGCCGGCGTTTGCGGTGCAGTTGCGACGCGGTTGCGGGGCGTTTGCGGAGCGGTAACACCACTCAAATGCATTATAGGCGTTTGTGGGGCGTTATTAACGCTCGGCAAACGCCTAGCAACCGCCGCTAAACCGCGCATGCGGCGTTTGCGGAGCGTTTGCCGAGCGTTAAAAACGCTCCGCAAACACCGGACCAACGCTTGCCAAACGCTATAGGGGCGTTTGGCAAGCGTTGGCAAAACAGCCTAGTGTGAACGAGCCCTTAGGGGCTCTGTGAATTCAAGCGTGATACCATGATAGGCTGTCACCTGTGCAGTGAGCCCATCCCTGAAATTTCCTTGCTACTAAATATTCCACGGTCAATTGTTAGTGGTATTATAACAAAGTGGAAGCAACTGGGAACAACAGCAACTCAGCCACGAAAAATGACAGAGCGGGGTCAGCCCATGATGGAGCGCACAGTGCGCAGAAGTTGCCAACTGTCTGCAGAGTCAATAGCTAAAGACCTTCAAACTTCGTGTGGTCTTCAGATTAGCACAACAGTGCGTAGATAGTTTCATGGAATGGGCTGCAGTGGAGATCTGTTATCTGGAGTGACAAGTCACGCGTCTTTGTCTGGCAGTCCAATGGATGTGCCTGGGTTTGGCGGTTGCCAGAACAGTACTTGCCTGACTGCATTGTGCCAAGTGTAAAGTTTGGTGGAGGGGGGGGGGATTATGGTGTGGGGTTGTTTTTTAGAGGTTGGACTTGCCTTAAGAGTTCCCTTCACTGGAACTAATGCGCCATCAGCATATAAAGACATTTTGGACAATTTCATGCTCCCAACTGTGTGGGAACAGTTTGGGGATGGTCCCTTCCTGTTCCAACATGACTGTGCACCAGTGCACAAAGCAAGGTTCATAAAGACATGGATGAGCGAATTTGGGGTGGAGGAACTTGACTGGCCTGCAGTGAGTCCTGACCTCAACCTCATCGAACAGCTTTGGGATGAATTAGAGCAGAGACTGTAATGTGCCAGGCCTTCTCATCCGATATCCGTGCCTGACCTCACAAATGCGCTTCTGGAAGAATGGTCAAACATTCCCATAGATACACTCCTAAAACTTGTGGACAGCCTTCCCAGAAGAGTTGAAGCTGTTATGGCTGTAAAGGGCGGGCCAACTCAATATTGAACCCTACGGACTAAGACTGGGATGCCATTAAAGTTCATGTACGTGTAAAGGCAGCTGTCCTAATACTTTTGGCAATATAGTGTATGTGCAGTCTGAATAAACAGTTCTATATTAGGCTGTATCTGTACTATAAACAGTGGTTCTGGATGTTCAATAGGCCCCAAAGAAGGAATGGTTTGCTTGGCTCCATCCACTATCCTGAAGAATAAAACTCCTTCCACCACTTCTTGGGAGGAAGTTTAGGGAATTCTCCCTAAGGGACATAAGCAGCAGAAGAACAAGGGTTTGGGACAGTATAATGTTTTTCTGACCTTAAAGTGGAACTTCACTCAAAAAGTGAAGTCCATCTGATTCTCTGTCAGTAAAATGTTTTTTTTTTTTTTGGGGGGGGGGGGTTTGGGTTTTTTTTTTTTTTTTTTGAGGGGGGACCAAGAACTAGTTGTTATTGGTACCCACTCCCACTTTTGCAGTCCTCACCTAGGCGAGGATTGCGCCCCTGACCCCTCCCCTTCTCACAGCCTCCTGGGAAATGTCACATGTCCCAGGAGGCTGCATGACCATCCACAAAGCCCTGAGCATGCTCCGTGGGGAGTCAGCTGCGGTTCCTCAGGAAACCACAATCAGCTCCCATACCTGAGCTGCTGGTGCTGATTTGCACATTCCTTTGCAAATCCAGATACTACCTTGTAAACATAGCATTAATATAACTGTGCTGCAATATAACCTTTGCACAGAGCAGAATTATGAGTAGTCCCAGCAGGTCCTCCCACTATAGGCTGCCTGCAGAAAAGGGACGTGGATACAAGACTAGTCACCCTGCAAAAGGAGTGAGGAGCAGCGACAGGTCTATATTACAGGAATCTCCTACTCCTAGCAAAATACAAGTTATTTTATGCTCGTCAAATCTTGAAATAGTCTGTCATTGTTGACTCCTCCTCCTGAACATGAATGCTGACTGGTTGCCATCCTGACCCTCTTGGTTCAGTTTGAGTCCCTGACATAGAACAAGTAACCATGAAAGGGCTAGTGACCACTTTGACACTCCTGACCTGCATGCTTGCTCCAGGTCATTATATAGATGGCTGATTCACAAGGAAAGGATTTATAATTTCACTTAATAAAAATAACGAATCTATTGTATGCATTAATAATGGCCAACAATACCAAAATGTGTCTGTGAAAATGAAAACCCTATTCTAGGTCCCATGGATGCTTTAAAAAAAAAAAAAAAAAAATTGTCATGGCACTATGAGGACTATCACTCTAAAAATAACCTTCCCGTCTCCCCAGTAAGAAGGGTTAATCTGAAACGGGACATAATGACCTGCCTTAGGTTAATCCACACTTTACAACAAATCCTCCTTGTATGAAGATGTCGTAGACAATGATACTAGAAGGTTTGATCAGGGTAATACAGGTTTTTGCATGAAAAGCCACATAAGAATTTATATTCTAGCTGCAAGGTTCAGTAGAATCTTCTTAATCTGATAAACAGAAACATGCTATCCATAGTATGTATTTTGTCTTGCATAGAAAGTGTCCCAGATCTCGCCTTTTAACAAAATCAAGAGATAATTTACTAATCCTTTCCTGATGCACTGAAATTATTATTTATGAGTAACTGCTCTATTCTCCTAACTGCCTAGTTAAAGCAGACCTCTAGCCAATCTTTGAAAAAAAAAATGAAGCTGGAAAAAGAAGGTAAAAGGTCTCGCTTTGATTTTGTATTGGTGAGGTCTTTTCCCCAGTGGACAAAGTACTTTAACTATATTGTCATATTTTGCCAATTATTATCTAAGGCTAGCTGTGAGGTTGAAGAGGCCTTCCTTTCAAGGCCATCCAACAACGCAGCTAGCAGAGAGATGACTGCTTTGACAGATGGCACTTTTCACCGTCTACATGCACTGGCCCACTTGCCTTGAGCATTTTAGCTGACCAACACCCCTTTCCCTGCATTCTTTGTGGGCGCTGGTCTCCATCAAATGCTTGGAGACGGGGAAGTGTGCCGTCTGTCAAAGCAGCCATCTTTTTGCTAGCTGTGTTGTATGGTTGTGGCGGGAAGAGGGAAGCCCTGTCCAGCCTAACAGCTAGCTTTAGACAACACCTAAGTGAATGGGACAAAGTAATACATATACACTGTCCCCTGGGAAAGAGAACATATCTGTAAAAATTGAAGTGAGGCTTCTTAAAGTCTTATGAGGGTTATGTCACTTTAAGTATTGCCATACTTTCTTTAAAGCCCATCTCTTGGCAAAAAAAAGTTAGGGTTTTTTCCATTCAGTGGGGCTGTGTCCACACTGCATGGGTTAACTGCTTTTTTTTTTTTTTTTCTTTTTCTAGAGGAGAGCAGAGCTATACTTGCCTGATCCTCTGATCCTCCCAGTGCAAGACTGGTCCAGCACCCCCGCACTCAAACGGTTTTGAATAGTGGACTGTTCCTGGCGTCATCACGCCCAGAGCAGGCTCCATAGACCAGGAACAGTCCACCGCTGGATGTGGGGGAGCACTGTTTTCCAGGAGAATTCAAAGATCGGGTGATTGTAAGCTTTCTCCTCACAAGTAGACTAAGCAAACAGTTGACCTGTGCACTGTGAGCACAGCCCCACTGCATGGGAAATATTTGGGTTTTTTTGCCTGGATTTCTACAACTGGGGCTGCAATTAGGAGAGCTGTGGCTCTTGTAAACAGATGCTGTACTGTTGTTAGTCCACTCCTCTTCTATCCATTCATGTATTAAATTTACATAAATCAGATATGCCGGAACACACTGCTGCACTCTCTAATATCTTTCCACTAGTCAAAACAGTAAATGTGACATTATAGGGAGCTTGCCTTTTATTTCGCTTTTTCTTTAAATTTCTTTTACTTTTATGGCAGTACCTGACGAAGCAGGTGGACTTACTTAGACGGATGAATGAGCAGCATGCCAAAGTCTATGAGCAGCTGGATGTCGCAGCCAGAGACCTGGAAGATGCCAATCAGAAACTGGTGCTGGAGAGCAAAGCGTCACAACAAAAGATTATTGGGTAACCATGCTTGTTACATTCCGCACCTTTATCCAAGAGCAGCTGCCACAGCAAATACAAAACAAAATACGGTTTCTAGTTGAACCAGTTTTTTTTTTACCTCTGTGTATCTCACATGTTATGCTTTGTATTCTATTTTTTTGTCTAAGAAGGAATTTCTGCATTTTTTTTTTTTTTTTTAATTCCAGTTTGCAATGATTGGTAAATCCTCAAATTGTTTCTCTTATTCACACTATCTCCATTCAGCTGCTTTGATCTGCATATATCTAGATAGATCCTGGTTTAACACAAGGCCACCTAGAAGAAAATTGTTTTCTATGTGTCCTGTTTGCACCACAATGCTACATTAACCACTTCCCCTCCGGCCCATGTACATAAACGGCCAGATGGGGGCAGTGCTGGAGCGGGTGGCCATTTATAAATGGCCTCTGCATTCGCTGCCTGTACGCGCTCCCTAGGAGCATGCGGCACTGTGATCCGGTGCACCGATCGTTGTACGGGACCTCTGTGTGAGGTCCCGATCATGTGATCACTGATTGGCCAATCAGTGATCACTTGAATAGTAGTAAGCAAGATGTCACTTCTGACATCATTGCTTACTACTTGTGAAATCTGTGAATGATCACAGAGGTCACATGGTACAAGGCTATTCACAACAGCCTTATACTATGTGACAAGCTGTGACCAATCACAGCGCGCACAGTATTTCTCACTGGCTGCAAGAATGCAGCCAGAAAGAAGGAGAAATTATTTGCTTTTACACCCATAAAGGCTGTAAAAGCAATCGGTGTAAAAAAAAAAAAAAAAAAAAAAAAATCTTCATCACCCCCACAAGTAGTACAGTGTCATTATGGTGACACTGTACTGCTAGGATGACAGTATGTTAAAATAAACCAAAAAAAAAAAACAAAAATAATATTAAAAAAATAAAAATTTATTTAAAAAATGTATAAAAAAATTTTGGTTATAAACTAATTTGGGTTTTTCTCTTTTTTACCAAAAAGATAGCTGAATACATTTTGGCCAAGATTTATGAAGAAATATTATTTATTTGCAAAATTTTATAAGAAAAACACTTTTTTTTTTTTTTTTCTCAAAATGTTTGGAATTTTTCATTTATATAGCAAAACAATAAAAATCCCAGAGGTGAATAAATACCACCAAAATAAAGTTTTATCTGTCTCAAAAAAATTAAAAAAAAATTCATATGGGTACAGTGTTGCATGACCACACAATTGTCATTAAAAGTGTGATCGCACTGAAAGCTGAAAATTGGCCTGGACAGGAAGGGGGTGAAAGTGTCCAGACTTGAAGTGGTTGAGGTAGGTTGCAGTATGCTGCATAAAAATGCAGACATTTTAAATTTTTATGCAGTGCAACTCAGCACGTCATTGAATTACAATGTGCTGCAATGCATTGATGTGAATGATTGATTTTGTGGGATTTCAATAAATTTAAAAATAAGCCCTTGCAGTAGGACTGCATCTTCACTGCACGGGTTAACTTCTCATTGCAGGGGCTAGTCTAGTAGCATACAAGATCAGGTACATAGATCTTCTTTTCTATGTCTAGACCTAAATGAGCAATTGACCCTTGCAGTGCTGGAGCAGCCCCACGGCAAAGGATAATTGAAGTGTTACTAAACCCACAACAGTAAATTCAGTATGTATATGCAGTAAAGCATGCTTGTTATACTCACTGTGCAACCTAAGGGGTTAATCCTCTGCATTGTGCAAAAAGGCTGTTTGATCCTGACTTCTCTGATCCTCCCCTTCTTCCAGTGTCCCACTCTTACCTCCTAATAAGACATATCATGTGGAGTCACTCTGCACATGTTCAGTTTGGTGTGTATTTGTTTTTTCTTGGGAGAGTGCATGTGACCAGCACAGGGCCAATCAGCACTGTCCAGACAGAGGTCAGGGGTTCTTCATCCTCTTAGAGCAGAATGAAAACTCCTTCTACAAGCTTTAACATTTACTCTGCTGAACACTGATAGAAGCCACAAGACTGCCCTAACTGCCTGATGAGAAAAGGTATTTAGCAGTTTATATTTACTAAAATAATCGAACTTCCATGTACTGTGGGAGACCAGATATAGTGAATCACAGAGCTGGGCTTTAATAAAGTGGGGGGGGGGGGGGGGTAAATGTTACCTTGTTTTGTAATAGTGCAAAGCACCACCCCTGCACAAGAGATGCAGGCCATTATTTTTTTAAAAATAAGTCTTTATTGCGAGGTTAAAGATGTAGTTAGACGACAGACCATTTTCGTTGACAGGAAAATCTGTGGATGAAGTGTTTGTGACAATTTTTGACATAGGAAAGAAATGTTAATTTCAAAGAGAATGCAGTCTAAAACCGGGAATTCAGTGAACTTGCCTGGAACCAGGCCTAAGTCAAAGGTTCTCGAGTGTCTGAAAGTAGGGGAAATAATTGTGACACCGCTTGTTTTAACGTGCAGGCTGGGATGAACAAACTCTTAGAAAAGTCTAGTTAAAACTAAAATCAAACATTATGCCTATGGGGGGTACAGCCTGACCACCCAGAAAGTCTGTTTATGATGTGTAGTGTTAAAATACACTACCATGCTGGTAGTTCTGGAAACAACTCTACAAGAATCAGGTATCAGGAATACCCTGCCTGAAGTCTTCAGAGTCTATACAACACAGAATCCTATGACCAGTGTCTGCAGTCCCACCCAGAAATCATGTGGACAAGATATCAGATTCGGATTAGGTAAAGCTCAGAATAAAGAGCAATTCTAGTGAACTAATGAAGCCTGTGAATTGGTGATTCTGTCTAGGAAATATTACTGCTGATTTAGAGCCAGAAAGTATGCCAAGAGTACCACAAAGGACACCAGTACTGAAGAAAATATTTAGATTGCCGTTCTCCGTCTTTCCTTTCATGTGAAATGCCAGATACCTAGTTGTCCTGCTGATTTGTTTTTTTTTGTTTTGTTTTTTTTTTTTTTTTTTTTTTTTTTTTTGCCTTTTTAGTATTTAAAGTAAAACCCAAGACAACTACCCTCTGATTTAAATCAGACTTTCCTACCAAAGAGGCCTGTATTTTTGCCTTTAATGTGCCTTAAAATTGCCTGTTTATCACTCTTGACTGGAAAAAAAACTGGGACCTTTTTGATACACTTTAATTAAAAGGGATATTTTATTTATGGGAAACTGGGAGTGCAATCTCTGAAAGATAACCTTTTCTTACTTTCCAAATTTACCATCTTCCATTTGGTAATCAGCCCTTCAGATGGTGATTAGTTGGTGGTAACTGGTAATTATCTTTCTGTATTTAGTTTAACGGACACCATTGAAGGACTGCAGGTCAACATTGATGACCTTCAGAAACAAGTGGAAGAACTGAGAAAAAACAACCAGCTGTGTCGCAACCGTGAGAAATTTGATCAATCTAGATCAACGCACAGCTTCTCCTGTCTAAAGGAACTGTATGACCTACGCAAGTAAGTGCCACAAGTCATCTTCTCTTTTCTAAGAGTTCCCACATGCTATTGCATTTGGTTGCATACCAATGCAGTTATTAGACTTATCTGTTCAGTTAACACTGAAAATTGTCAATTCGATAGTATTTCTTGTATTATTGCCACATTCTTACTGCATCTCCTGTTAGTGAAAATGATCACTAGGACAAATACAGAGGATGAAAATCCCCCTGCTGGATTCTAACCACCTTTGGGCATAAAATACACTTTATCACAAATTCCCCCTTCTTCCCACTTTTTTAGATATTTATCTATTATTTTGGAGAAAAGAGTTACTTTTTGCTTGCCTTTTACTTTATTATGTGCATGAATGTGTTACTGGTTTATATTATGGATGGAGTTTTTCCAAGACATTACATTTTTTAAAATATATCTTCTGCAGGTATTTTGTATATGATCATGTTTTTGCTGAGAAGATTGCATCTCTGAACACTCAGCCTGGACCAATTGAGGAGGAAAACGAGAATTTGAAGAAGACCTTGGCGGTCTTGGAAGCACAGCTCAGCACAGAACGCAATAAAAGGGAAAGCTTAGAGGAAGAATACAACCAGGTTGTAAAAGAAAATACTGAGCTGGAGCAGATCCTCCAGGAGAGAGACTCTATCCATGCCCGGGCAGAAGAACTGGAGGCAGAGGTGGCGGAAATGCGTCAGATCTGTCGGACTGACAGTGTATTTGCAAGCAACGTTGAGAAATTGATCCCAGAGTCCATCTTCATCTCTTTTAAAGAAAATTCAGACAAGGATATAGAGCCAGAGTCAAGTGTACGGCCCACAGAAGGGGACAAAAGGCCTTTAAAAAGAAGCAACAGTGAGATGATCTTGCCCAGTGCTACTGCAGAAGCCATCCAGAATGGCCATGAAGAGACCTGTATTAGGAGGACGGAAGCTGTAAAACAAAGGGGAATTTCACTGCTTAACGAGGTGGACTCTCAGTACAGCGCTCTGAAAATAAAGTATGATGAGCTTCTTCAGCGGTGTCAGTTAGAGGATGATCTCTTCAGCCACAAGGATGTCCAGACCTCTAAGCTGTCTATTGGCTTGACCAATGTATCTTCTCCTGAAGATGGTTCTCCACTACGTTCCTTCTCAACCAAGCACAAAGCTGGTTCCCCTGGAACCCAGCCGGAGTACAAAGTTCTTTTTCAGGAAATTTTTAGCTGTATCAATAAAACCAAAGAAGAAATTAACGAGCACCGAACAAAATACAAACAGATTTGTCATTCTAAAGACAGCTAGAGCTCAATGCATTCCAGAACGTTTCCACTTTTTCTTTAATTAAAGTGCAAGTCAACTTTTCTGACAGGTTGATGTTGTAATGCAGGATATCAAAAAGACAGTTTTCCAAGTCCTTCTAATCAAATGCTTTCATAGTCTTGAAGTAAATATTGTTCTGAATGGGGAAATGTTCACATTTTGCCTGTTGCCATGAAGAAACTGTATACATGGTGGAATGCTTTTTTTATTCATACATCTTGTAGACCATTGTATAATTCATAGCACAAGTGGAACAGTTGTTCAACACAAACCAAACACTTTGCAGAATATTTAGATCAATACTGGTAAAAAATGATAGCATTTAAATATACCTTGGTCCTCCTTTACAACTACAAATTTGTTGGAATAGTAGAGTTAAACTTTAGATCTAAATGTAGTAAATATAATTTTTTTTTTTTTTTTAAAAGCTTGACCATAAACACTTGTCATGGCTACCTCATTAGCCTATTCACAGTAGAGCAATTCCATATTGGCATTGGATTTTACTACATGTAGTCCATCCATTTTTAATGTACATATATTTCTGATCTTGGATAAGCTTTTAAAATTGCTACCTAATTTGCTCATAGTGAGCTTCTAGTGTTGAAGACCTGAATTGTAGAAAAGAGTATTGTCTGAGGTCTCCATCTTTTTCTCATTACTTGCCATATGTATGTTCTGCACTGTGTCTCTGGAGGTGGCCATCCTTGTAGAATGGGGATTTGCTTTCTTGCTATCAGAGCCTGCCATCATTATGACTGGTGATGACTTTTGAGGGATTTTTCAAGAAGCAGCAAGATAGGTGCAGGAAGCCCACATCACAGAATGAATGTAGTGTAGGTCTTCTCCAGTACAGCTTCCTCTCTCCAGCAAGCAGCACAATAATATCGCCAAATCTTGTGACACTAGCAGTCACAAGCAACAGTCCCCCACACTGCAGGAATACAGTCCTATATCAGGAAGTGCACTGCCATTTTTTAACGTTCAAGACATAGATTTTTCATGGTACTACTTATGCACAGTTAACATTTCTAGATGTTCACTATAACATGACAAATCTTGACTTTAAAATAAGGTCCACTTAAATATGTTTTGTCTGTTCTTTGGAAAACGCCATATAGTAGACGCACTTCTGTGCCACCTTTCTTTTTCTAATTTTTTTTTTTTTTGTTATATGTACATGCATTCAGATTGGGAGCATAACCATAGGGGAACGCAAATGTTTTTTAAAAAATTCCTGCGTAAATACTGTATATGGAGTTGACATAGTTGCATGCTAGCATCTCTATAAAGCTAAAGGAAGCCTAAGGCTAGTATATTTCTGTTTAATACAGAGAGTTTAAAATAATACTGTGAAGTAAATTAGAGACAAGTGTGTTTCACTTGTTATATGAGACAATATGTAATTATTATTTCTACAGAATCTTTTTATCCATTACTTGGAATTCCAATTACAGTATTTAATGCTTTACCTGTTGTCCAAACATAGTTGACAAGGGCAGTAATGATTTTGCTTGAAGAACCAGGCTTCCAGAAAATGGTGGTTACCCATTCACAGCTGAGTACCTTAAACGCATAGGTAACAGATGATCTTTTTTTTTTTTTTTTTTCTATTATCTATAGTAAGTTAGACTAAATAGTCAATTTAAATCTACTAAAGTAGATAATGACAGAGTAGTGATTTAGAATGGAGGAACAGAGTTTGATTTTGCTGTAGGAAACTGCTAATTTATTGAAAATAGGCAAAAGGAAAAGTTTTTACAGTTATTTTGAGTTTTGTAATACTAATATATTTTTTACCTACTAAAATAATACTATTGTTTTAGATTGTGTATCATCTTATGGACTTTGTTAATTAGGGAGTTTAAAGTAGAACTATAGGCAATGCTTTTTTTAATTTTGGATAGCATAAGGGAGGGTTATGTCAGTTTTTTTCGCTATCTGTGTCCCATTGGGGAGATTTACCTTCACTTCCGGTCCCATAGCCAAAATAGGAAGTGAGAGGAAATCCTAAGTAAGGGCAGAAGAATTTAATTCCTGGAATCTGCAATCCATCTGCTTTAGCTGAGAAAGCCTGTCCTCCCCTCCTGATGACTCCTGAGATGTATGACATTTGCCTAGGCATGGAAACCAGGAAGTAACGAAACAAATGTAAAAAAAAAAAAAAGTTTAAAAGTAAATATAATATATTTTTTTATTTACTAATGGCAGCATAAGGATTACAAATAGTCAATGTTTTGAGGGAGTAAAGTTTGCTTTAAGGGAATCCCTTGGGGCTCCCCAGGTCATCAGAACTAGTGTCCCCATTGGAAGATTTCCCCTCTATTTCTTTTCAACCATAATAGTAAACAGGATACATAGAGGGGGGTTTCCTAAAAGGGACAATAAAAACTGACAGATGTTCTAATCCTTCTCTACTCTATCCAAAGTATAAAAAAAAAAAAAAAAAAAAAAAAGTGTTGCCATTAGTTATACTTTAAGCATGAACCCCTATAAGGGGAGCCTATAATATGGTAAACGGTAGGTCAGTGTAACCTAGTCTGAATTATAACATGCTGTGTATAAGAAGAAGGCATTCAGAATGAGTGACAAAGGTATTTCTAATGAAAGTGTGGACATCTCTGTAATCCCATCACATCTCCTATACCTGAGCATGAAGAAGAGTTGGGGAGGTAGGGTTTGAAGATGCCAACAAATACCAGTAGTTATGTCAGGAAAGAGAGGATTATAAGGTAGGTTCTAGTAAAGATGGGAAAGGAATGGAAAATTGGAAAGTACAGTTGACAGTGGGTTGTGAAGGGCAACATATCCACGATGTCTGTCCTACAATTCTTTTCTTAGAATAACCCAGAAATAAGGATGGTGGTGGTATGTGCAACTGAAACTTGGCCATAGATGGATCAAAATTCAGCCAGTTCAGCAGGGACTGGCTGAATTTCGATCTATGCGTGGCTGTTCCTGCTTCACAAAAGTTGATCTAGCAATTGACATTTGTCAAACCGGCTTGTTGAAAAAAATTTTTTGATCAACGGATACAGCCATTGGCTGAATGTAAAGGGAAAAAAAAATCGATAAAGTCAGCCTTACACTTATTTGGAAAGCTCCAAAATTGAATTGATTGTAAGTAACGACTTGTAAACAACCCGTGTTAATCTTCAATAGTGTTTTGGAAGGTATGGTAACATGTACTTGTAGGTTTCTGTATTCCTCTCTTTAAGGTGATGAATAAAGAGTTACCAGAAAAGGAATCTATGAAAAACTGTTCAGCTTTACCAAAGCTCTATCATATTGCTAAGAATTGGTTCCCAATCGATGGATATGTTGCATTATATTTTTACCATTCCAAAATATATATGGCTGCACTGTCTGTGGGTGTGAGATGTGCGCATTAAAATATTTTCCATATGAATCTGATCTTGATATTTTTTTTTTAATTTGAGTTTTTTTTTAATAGTGATGTGATCTGGAGTACAGTTTCAACTGAAACTGTAGAGTTAAAGGAAAGAATGTATCTCAGCTTATGGTCAAAAGTTACTAGTAAAGCATGTTCAGGTGTTATATCAGTATTACACAATTAAATTTATGCTGATTGAATTTTTTATGTACTTTAGAGAATGATTCAGGTGGGTCCAGCACCATCTTGAATATATTTGACTGTACTTTTTCGGTCTGTTAATTTTTATGTTTGCTTACTTGGCATTTTGTTCATGTGCTGCTTTTGGGGGGTTAGGGGCAGACAACAAAAAGAAGGAAAGGAATGGTTCTCTACCCAGGTTGTGCAGATCACTAGAGTGTGGCCTTTCCTTGTCAAGTGCTCCATAATACCAACAGCAGGACAGCTTCTTTGGGACGGGACCCAGAAAACAACAAAACACTGTAGTAGCAGTGGCTACCACCGTGTTTCTCCACCTCCACAGGAGTTAGAATTTGCATACTTACAGTTGTACTCAAAAGTTTGCATACCCTTGGAGAATTGGTATACGGTATGTACCATTTTTGAAGAAAACATGGGTGAGCAGGCAAAACACGTTTCTTTTATTTTTTATGGGATTCGTATTCAACTGCAGTTCATAACAGAATGGCACTCATAAAACATAACATGGCAACAAGTAAACAAATGAAATTACTCCTGTTCAAAAGTCTGCATACTCTTAGTTCTTAATATTGTGTATTGAACCCTTTAGCATCAATGACAGTGTGCAGTCTACTGTAATATTTGTCTTTGAAGCCCCAAATTCTTGCAGGTGGAGGCATTTTGCCAAGTCTTTAGTCGTTTTGCATTACCCGCACATTTCAGATCTTCCCAGAATGGCTCAATGATATTAAGGTCAGACTATGATGGCCGCCCCAGAACCTTCATCTTTTTCTGCTGTAACTACTGGAGGGTCAACTTGACCTTGTGCATAGGGTCATTGTTGTGTTGGAAAGTCCAAGAGCATCCCATGCACAGCTTTTGTGCAGAAGAATGCAAATTGTCTGCCACTATTTTTCTGATAACATGTTGCATTCATCTTGCCATCAATTTTCTCAAGATTCCCTGTGCCTTAGAGCTCACACCCCTCCCCCACTCCGAAACATCAGTGAGCCACCAACACCAAGCTTCACAGTAAGAATGGTATTTTTGTCGCCTTGTTGACCCCTCTCCAAACAGAGCTTTAGGGTCATAATTGTAAGTGCTATTTTGGTCTCATCACTCCAGATTACCGCGTGCTCGAAGCTGTGAGGCATGCCAAGGTGTGGTCGGCGTTTTGTAACTGGCTTTTTAGTGGCATTTGTGGAGTAAAGGTTTTTTTTTTTTGCCAACTCGACCATGCAGCCCTTTTTTGTTTACGTATCGTATTGTGCTCCTTGAAACATCCACAATGTTTTTTTTTTTTTTTTTTTTTTTTTTGTTCCTCCAGAACAGCCTGTATTTCTCCTGAGGTTACCTGTGGGTTTTTCTTTGTATCCTGTACAATTCTTCTGGCAGTTGTGGCTGTGAT